ACTACGACGACGACGACGACGTCGACGTACTGCTACTGCCGCCACTATCACCACCACCACCACGACGTCCGCAGTCTCCCTATGCGATCCTAAACAGTTCGCGGAGCTGAGCGCCTGAGAGCGACATCAAGTGTTTTCTTGTAGGCAAAAGCTTCTTTGCGGAAAGCTTGCGGGTGGTGTAGGGTTGGGGAGGATGGTTGGTTAAAGAATGTGTTTGGCTCGTACGTATATCATGGTGTTATTGTCTCTACTTGGGTTGAACTGTCATTTCATCATCGCTGGCAGGTGCCTAGTGGGGAAAACATATCATTCAAGTTTTGATAATTTTCCCCGCCGGGTACCTACTACTGTTGCTTCTGCTGCTACTGCTACTACTACTACTACTACTACTACTAATTCTATTACTGCTGCTACTACCACCTCCTCTACCACTACCACTGCCACTACTAGTACCAGTACTAGCACAAATGCGAGTTCTGGTAAGTTACTAGTAATCAGAATCAGTACGTACTAGTCGTAGAAGCAGAGTGCACCCACTCCTTTCAACCTCACAGGCCTCCGACTGCATATCTCAATATTTGGCCTCCACTCAGCTGCTGTGCTCAGGGCTGAGGATTTGAGGTGTGTGTGTGTGTGTGTGCGCGCGCATGTGTGTGAGTGAATGTGTCTTGTGTGGTTTAACGCTTTGGCTTTCTATTGGCGGAGGACTGGGATAACTGAGTCTTGGGGTTTTGTTTGCGGGCATGTCTTGCTATGCGATTTCGTCAGAACTTGAGAGTATCGGGTTGACGCTGTCTTGCAAGCAACCGCTTCAAACAAACTTGCCGCTTGAGCTTCTTAAACCGGACCCTATTTTGGTTGCACAGGCTTCTAGCATCAACAGTAGACAGGCACCACTGTCAGTTTACCGCGTACAAGGGCTGTGTACATGCTCGGGCAATCTCCCCTTGAGGCAGCAAAATAGTCAAACAGCAGCACGGACGCAGCTGTCCGCCCAGCCATGAAACCATCCACCCCCTATGCAGCCGAAGCCCCAACCTCTATTCTGCCCGCTGGCCCTGAATACTCTAGAGTCTAGAGACTCTAGACTTGAAGCATTCCTGGAATCATCAAGCACCCTCACTGTCAGCTATGTCTGCTTCATGGCAGGTGAATGTGTTTCACTCCATTGACTTCTTGCTCCGATTCAGCCAGCCTCTTCGCGAGCTCGTGAAGACCGGTGGGCTGGAGATCCATGGGGGCGGCTTGGCCCGTAGGATCGGGTCTTTGGAGATCAGACCCTGAATTGGAGCTGATGGTTTGTGGGCTGGGGCTTTGTAGGAGTGACCCCGTAGTGCGACTTGTTGGACCAGGATCCCTACAGATGTAATGTAAGAATGCCAGAAGCCGAGCTTGGGGTTCAAGGACAGATATGCATGCGCACCCTCTCGCAGAATCCCCATTCATGTCACAAGGCATCTATCACCTTGAGAGCGGCCGAGTCGAGTTTTTGGGGCCTTCGCCGAAGCAGGCTGCACTCTTGGCTTCGGAGTCTGTTCTGAACAAGAGGCTGAGGAAGGTTTAGAACGAAAGTTCGGGGAAAGAAGGTGGTTGCAGGCACGTAGCTCAGACTGAAGCGCGAATACCAGCAGATTTCTTCAAGCACATTGCTTGTCCGGAATCCTGGGAATGTTGTTGGAACGTTCATGGAGTTGCTGCACTGTACTCCATGCCTGGAGTGGCAATTCGCAGCAAGGCGTGCTTTTGTAAGGCAAGATCTTGGTTATCATTGCCTGGCACTAGTTGTGGAAACAAGAGCGGCGGTTCACGGTCTGCAAATCCAAATCCAGCCTGATTCTACAAGAAGTTTCTTTGAGCCCGCCTCTTGTAATTGAGCGGTATTCGAAGTTGTAACTCATCGCAGTGCCTGGTATCATCATCGGTCTGCTAGTGGCAGCAACAACTCCTGGCAGTGCTCACAAAGGACATCTCCCTGCCGCCCTCCATGGCTTCGCTTCCCATCCGAACAGCGTTGGATGGGCCCACCAAGCCCGAGACTGTCCCTGGTCCGCCATGCTTTATTGGAGGTGTTCCCTTGCGGCTGCTGTTGTGGGGCTGGGGTAACGGGGGTCGGGTTGCCTCCTCTTCTGCTTTGCTGTTGATTTGGGGTTATTCTCCCGTAGTGGCGAAGTGCTTTCCTTGGTTTTGTCAAGCACTCCGGCATCACACCTTGAGAAAAGGCCAAGTTAGTCTAAGTTTCCTCCACAGCAAGACACAGTTAATTTCTCAAGGCGCTACAGCTGCTGCGCGAGGGCAATCAGCGCTTTGCTGTTGGTGCGCCCATTTCTGGCAAGCTCAGCTCACAAATGCGAAAGGCCCTGGTGTGGCTGGGGCCCACGCTCTGAAAGGTTTTTCAAGATAGTCTTTGGTTCTTCTATCCAACCCAGATTGGAGAAGTTATTCGCTTGGAGATCATAAGTGCAGCAATCATAGTAATCAAAGAGCTTCAGTGTGACTATCTGCCGCTGCCACACCTCATTCTCCTTCGGCCGCTGCTGCTTGCACTACTCCGCTTTCTGATCTTTCTTCGTTGCTGCATTACTGCTATTCCTTGATGCCTTTTTCGCTCTCACCGAGGAAGGACGGCCAGGCCCCCCACTCTGCTATCATTGGCTGTGCGGATTCGCGGGCACCTTTGGAGCCCTGGTCGGCAAGCTTTGCTTCTGCACTAGGATAGGCTTCACAACTCCACGACACTCTCTCTGAGATGCGGTTACACTAAGTACTCAATGGCTGAGACCATTCAGATGAGGGCATTCATTGAGGATGTGGGGCTTGCGGAATGTTGTCCCAAACGTCAAACTTGTTTATCTTCGTCCTAATGCAGTTCTCGAGCGATCGGTGCCGGAGAAGCGGCCTGGTGCATAGCGGGAGACGCTGTACTTCCAATTGTCCTCTGTGCTTGAGTGTGAGTGTGGCTGCGGTCTTCGTCAAACACCATCAAAGAAGCAGCCATGCATTTCATTTCCATTTTGGATGGCTACACATCCAGGAAACAGTCTTCGACGCCATGCCCGGAGACATCTTCGTGCTTCGCAATGCTGGCAACACTTGCACCCATGCCGAGGTGGGCAACGTGCTCTTTGCTGGGTTCTGTCTTCGGCTGAATTCGCATTTTGTGACATGTGTGCCGATCCACTCCGGAAGAGTATCTAAAGTGGTTCAGAAATTGCACGGATTTTGACAGTATCCTACGACCTACGAGTTTTGCCCAGCTGAATTGTAAAACAAAAGTGAAGCTGGATGAGCAAACTCATCAGCCTGCGAGCTGAGGGTAGCATCATGGGGAGTCTGGAGTTCTCCATCGGAGCCCTGAACACACAGCTCATCCTCGTCCTGGGCCATACGAGTTGCGGTGCCATTCTGGGGGCCGCGAAGGCCTTGCGGCAAAACTTGCACTTGCTGTTCGCAGCTCCTCTAGTTATCATCTCCTCAGGATAGGTCAGCATGCTTTTCGAGCTAACAGCTAACACCGCCAAGGTTCCGAGGGTGGATGGGCGCTTAGCAGCAGCATCCATTCTGCACGTATGCAGCTCTAGAGACCAGCTGCGGCAAAGCTAAAACAAGTCGCGCCGGCTGCCGGCAGAGACAAGAGAGCTGCTCCAGAGCACTCTCAGCCTTTTGAAAGACCCATGAACGAATCTCCCTTCCCATGAATGGTCAAGGTCTTTTCTCCTGTGCATCAGCAGCTCAGCAGCTGCCCTTGACTCTCAAGACCAGACCCCAAAGTCCAGCAGGCCTTTCTGCAGTCCAAGACGGCCGTGAAGACCAAGGCGCTCCGCCCTCCGGGAATAACCAGGAGCAGGAGCATCGCAACAACCATGAGGGTGAGGGACATCGCAGCCAATTCCGAAGGACTACATGAGATCAACATAGCATGGAAGAAGCACAGACGGTAAAGAACAGCAGTATCGCAACATCGGGGACATACAAAGAAGTCACAAACAAAGTTGCAGGGACAGTCGATGCAGCACAAAATTGGGTCCATTGTTTTCTGACACAACCGGACAAGGTCAACAAGGCCCTCGATGCGCTCCTTGATGGCTTGAGCGTGGTGATCTCGCAGGCAGCCTGGGGCTCGAACTCGAGGTCGAAGGGCTCCGAAGGGCACTCGAAGTAAGTGCCCCTACATCGGACCAAGCGCGTTGCAAATCTTCTGGCAAAAGCTGGGAAACCATGATATCCTGCTCTCTCAACCATTGACTAGAATGCATCATGCTAAGATACGCTAAGTACCCCTGGCGTATTGCAGGATTTTTTGTTTTGGATGTCTGGCAGGCTGCCGAAGAGCTCGGCTCCAACGCGAACGAAGATAACATTGTCAGCCATGCTGTGAAGTTGAATGCCACTGGAGCTGCATGCGAGGGTTGTTACAAACCTCTGCCTTGTTTCTTACATATGATATGGCGAGTTCGCAGCACAGACTGCCAGATTTTTTTCTGGGCACGCGACAGCGCGAGTGTGGCAGAGGTTTTGACATACGGAATTTTCAGATTGGCGCGTGCTTTGCCGAATGATTTTGCCTGTGAATGAAAGAATCAGAGATGGAGTGCGCGCACGAAAGACCGTGAAAGCTCCACGAAAGGCTCAGTGGTTGATGGCCGTCTGGGAGAAGGAATAAGATAATTTGCGCAGCCCCATTTGTGCTTTTTGCTTGTTGCAGCAGGTCACCATCGCCAGATGTCAGTCAGCCGTCAAAACCGCAGCATCATCAAACTTGTTTGGCTCAGGTCTTCCATACCATTGAGTTCCTTCTTCAGAAGAGCGACCTTGTTCGCCAGAAGATCGCGGACGGTGAGCTCGAGATCCAGGGCGGCATTTACGACCTGGAGAGTGGGCGCGTGGAGTTTTTGGGCCGGCATCCCTTGCATGCCACGTTTATGGCCGAGATCTCTGGAGATGACAGGGAGCTGGGGGCTTGAAGTCCCTAACGCTGTGTTAATGCCACCAAACCTCCAACACCCATGCTGTGCTCCAAAGCGAGGGAGCAGGTAAGGTTTGTGCTCTGGCGTCTCAGAATGTAGATATAGGCGTTTCCCGAAATCTAAGCTTGTCTCTAAAAGCAGTTGCAGATTCATCGGGCATTAGTTTGGGAGCTTTGAAATTCAATTCACGACAGCACTTTGGGAGACCCTGTATAGCTCGATCATTTTTTCCGAGGGTGGATGCGATTCATCCGCCCGCCGCCCGTCTTGAAAAGACAAATTTAGCTGCAGGTGCAGCATCCTTCCACCAGCCTGGCGGAGCACCTTTCCAACGCTAGGCTTCAAACTCAACTCTGACATAAAGCGATCATCGCCCCAACGATCTAGAAGCTGTTTACAGCAGCACCTGGTGTCTCTGCGGGCATCCAACTTTTAATCTGCAGAGCTCCAGAAACCGTGGCCCGAACCGCGTCTCAAAAATTGCATCCAGCAATGATCCAACGTCTGATGGTCTGCAAAGTTGGATCCAATGCTCAGGCTTTGCACCCCCCGTGGAACAGCACGGCGACCTGGCGGGTCCATGTCCTCCCGACACTCCTTCACGATTTTGTGCTTACAAGGTAGGCCCCACCAGTTTTAGGGCTGAGGCTAGACATGTTAGCAAGCAAACCCTTCGGACTGCAGCACGGTTTGTAAATGTAAAGGCTCTTTTTCCGCTTGGCTTGGTGCCAGGATCCGCGAGGCTCCGCCGCGTCCATCGCCGCGAGCTTCTCCTCGCCACCCGACTGCATGTATTTTTTCGTAAAGCTTGCCCAAGTTTCAAGGTAACTTGTGCCATTCCTCTGTACTACGTGCTATCAATTCTGAAGGCACTATGAGGAAGTCTGAAGGAGCCTCAACTGTTACCGTCGGTGCTTGTGCCCGGGATCTTGGGCAAAACCTTGGCCCCATGGTCAGGATTCGAAGGCTTAGTCTTTCAACGTGGCGTGCCTAGAGGAAGCAGGAGGGAGCCAGAGATGTACTTACAGCAGCTATTGAAGAGCCAGGCACACCAGGATCACCCTTGACGGCACGTGCTGCGCGGCTGTTTGGAGAGGACTCTGGCGCACAGTGAGATGCACATGTATGACTGAATGCTCTGACTGCATCTGCCGGTGTCGGCATCTGCCGGTGTCGGGTGCGCGGATGTGTAGGTCTGACGCGGTTTCCCATTACAACGCTGGTGACAAGCAAGGGTTCCAAAGCCATATAGAGCTGGAAGCGCTGTTGGCGGCAGATTGTTCCCCCTAAATCAACCCTGACAATTACAGCCCGCCCTGCCAGACTCGAGACACCGATGCACACCAGGATAAAGCACGGTAAAGCCAGAAGGCTGCCTTCTGCAGCCTAAGAGATAGTGTTTAGGCGGCTTTTTCGTTGGGTTCGGAAACTTACACACCATAAAGGCTTGATGCGCGTGCAATAGGACATACGTAAAGTCAAGAGTGACATGCGATCGTTTATGCAAAAAGAGGTGAATCGTGGCTCATGACGTGAATATTCGCTTGCATACGTACCGCAAATGTTCCAGCACGTTCAGCTGGCTTGGCAGCAGGACAGCACACGCCTCTATCTAGAAGGATGGCGGGGATACTCAGAATGGCTGCTGTTCATGCAAAAATGCTTGTCTGGCATTCAGACCTAGGATTCCGTGTATATTGTTGGAGGTAATAGTTTTCTATGGAGTCAAGTGCGTTGTCCGCCTTTGGACGGTTGCCTGAGTCAGGGCTCGTCGTGGCTGAAAGCCTTATGAAGCTAACTCGAAATCAGGTGCTTCTCAGCCTTTGTGCTCTGCCATTTCTTTTTTGGTTGAGTATGTGGGACCTTGCGTGGCGTTTACTGGAAGCTTTGCAATCCTGATCTTCATTGGGCTGTGTTTCAGAATATTTCCGTGGTGCTTGCGCTGAGGACTAGGAAGCTGAATGAATTCTGTGCAAAGGCCAGCCACGACGCCTCGGCTGCTGCCGTGCGCAGCCTCAGTGTTTTCCCTAGGCAGGTTCATCTCATGCGAGAAGGTTTGTAGGGTCGGGCAAACCTGGGTCATGAAGCACCAAACGGCTGCAGTAATACAGTACACAGTCTGAGCAAGTCCCGAGATTGTGGTCTTGACAGTCAGTAGTATTCACGAAGGGCTCTGGGAGCCCAAGTTGTCAGGACGTGCGGCACGACAGTTCAGCAGCCTCATGCGTGAGTCTAAACTTCAAGTTCACTGGGCACTGCTCAAACACCATGTAATTGTAGTATCTCAGTGTGATTCATACCCGTAGGGCAACACGTTCGCATTTCCACGCTGAGAAGCCCCTGTGTCCAGTGCAAATCACAACTCACATGAGCCTGGATGGTCATTCACTGCAATCCCATGACTTCAGCAAGGACTGAGGAACCAACAAGTCCCTGGAACCTCTGACCATGTAACTGATCTATTGCATTGGTTGTTCTGGGATAGAATCTTGACTTCAGCGTTCATGTGCTTCCCCTGTTGCACTGTATAGTCCGACTGAAACATTTTCACTGATCAGGATAACATTGGCTTGCTCTCGAGCTTAAGCGCTCATGAGGCAAACCGCGCGAACCGAGGCACGAAGCGGGGATCCCCAGTGAGGCTGTGAACAGGAGCTGTTGCATAACTTTGCTTAAGATTCTCCGTTGATTGCCGCTGGTTTGCTCTGGTTTTGCTTCAAGAAAGCCCACGCGCTCAAGCAAGTCACGGCTTACACTAGAACTTACAGTGCTTTGATGGACGAGACACGCGGCATTTTGTTTTCTGTAATTTGGAGGTTTGATGTAGGCTTTGAGGCTTGCGGGTTCTTGCACTTGAGATTGAAGTGTTTTCAGAATCTAGACTCTCCACTCTGCACCCAGATGCCTGCAACTGGTGCCGGCTCAGAAGCTTCAGAAGCTCTGCGTTTGAGCCGCGCTTCATGCCAGACATCAAGACAGCAGACCTGTCATGGTTTAATGAACCTCGAGCAAGCAGCATGAGCCTCGTCAAGCATTCAATCAAAAACTCCGTTGTGCGAAGCAGGTTAAAATCCAAAAGATCCAATGATCCACTCGCACCTGCAGTCAGTAGTTCTCACATTCAAGCCTCTAGTGAACAGCCTACCAGCACCGGTGCCGAAGCCCTCAACCTTTTGACTACCAACCCTGGTTGCGGTTGTAATCCCAAAGCACCAAATGACCAGCACATCTCAAGGTGCCACGCCCTGAATCTTCCATGCCTGCAGGGCCCCAACCCTCAAGCCTAAAGACAATTCCTCCGCGTCCTCGCTGCAAAGTTGGCGGGAGCAAGGAGGCGCGTCCTTGATTCCATTAGTTCAGAGGCTTGGAGCGAAAGAGACCTGTGTGTAGGAGTTGCAGGCCCAATTTGAAGTTTGGGTGTTTGGTTCAAGGCAGGGGTTCAGGCTTGTAAATGTAGCTGTGCTGCATGAGGCCCACCTTCCATGTGCATTCCTATGTCATTCAGTACCGAAGAGAGGCGGCTATCTGTCTCGTCCGTCTCCGCATGCTTAAGGGATTTTAAGGGCAGAGCTTGCATCGACACCAAGTGTTAGGCCAAAAATTTCCGTCCAGCTGCGCAGATGGCATGGGTGGGATCCTCGACGTCAGGGCCTCAGAGCAGAGTCCGGGGCGAGGGAATTTGGGAAGTGCAAGCTTTCTTCGAGAGGTTGAACCTCAACAACAAGTACTAGGCGATTAGAGCTGTTCCATGATGTTCCCAACTCCCCCCATCACAGCATGCGAAGCGCAAGGAACGCCAGGCTCACTGCTCACTCAACCTTCCTGATGACTGGAATGATTGGCTCGATCTTTTGTCCGGCCAATGAGCCGTTCGGATGAGCCGTGTCGGGTTGGCCTCTACCGCCTGAAGCATTTGCAGAGACCCAGGAAGAGACGACGGAAGCGCTGCCAGCAAGGCTTGGGAACCTCTTCCGTGCGGCGGCTAGGCCTTCCGCAGCCAAGTGAGTCAGCGAAGCGGGTTGGATGGGGGGGTTCTGTTGTTCTCAGTTGTCAACATCCTGTGGGGGAAGGAACTTGGGCTGGTACCAGCTGCTGTTCCTGAACTGCTCCAGAGTTTGCAGTTTCCAGACGGATTGCAGAGCAGCCTTCTGGTTTCAGTCCGCGACGCTGCCAAACCGAGTTTTGCGCCTGACTGTGATCATGCGGCCCAGGCGTACACCAGAGTTGCATCGCAGCGTTCTTCAATCGCTTTCCGATCTCGTAAGCCTCAAAGCACAGTCGTGCCTTGTTGTGTTGCCTAAGAAGCTACCATCGGCCACAGTGTTGCTTGCCCCATGTGAGGTCGTGGGGATGAAATATTCCTGTTGGTACCTGGGCTGTGGATAGCTTGTAGGTATGATATCCATGTTGGACAGACGCCGTTTGACTGACAAGAGGGCCGGAATCCAGCTATCAGATGCGGCCGATAGTAAACCACGCTTTCTATGCTGTCTAGCTGAGTCTAGCTGTCTTGCTTCAAAACTTGATGAGGCTGGCTGTTTCATAGCAAGCAAAGAATGAATCAACACGAATTTGCCCGAACTGTTTCTGGTTTCGATCCTTGGTATCACCCTTTCAACGCCAAGGTCAACACCTGCACTTGCGCCATTCATGTGCCAGCAGAAAGTGCCTCGATCCCTTGGCTGATGGTGTCTTAGAGATGCAGAGTGGGCATGGATTTGGATTCTTCTGGGTCATGGTCCAAGATTATGTTGCTTGTTTGTCTGGGGGGGAGCTGTATATTTGCAGTGGCCAAGGCCATCATGAACCATGTTTGACACTTCAATCCTAGGGCCAGCGTCCTCAGGTCGATGTAGCGCTACTCCAAATGAGACTGAGGAGGATCTCCGGATTGCAGAGCATGGGATCTCCACTAATGGGTCCAAATTGAAAGTGTTTCGCCCTTGATAGTAATCTGTCACTTGCCTGATTGCTGGGCCTAAACGCTTCGCTGTCGC